GGTATCTATGCTCTGGAAATACATATTGAATTGTTAGCTGCCTTAGAAAGATCCTATAAAACAACCCTCATCAGATATGACTTCATCCTATACTTCTTGATATCATTAATTTGTGATTATTTTCTAGTTGACACTATATTTTACTCTTCACAGATATTTAATTTTAACCTAAATTATGATTATCCATGCATACTTTAATTCTCTCCAAGAAGAAAAAGAAGTCATTGCATTTATTGCTGATTTAGATACAAATATTAAAACATTTATGTACTGAAAAACATGATGATTAAGACTATAACAACAGGCTTTACTGAATGCTTATTGAATGCCATGGTCTTCTTTAAACACTGTACATGTAAAAAGACATTCTATCATAAAGTAATAAAAAACAAATCTAAAAGAAATAGTGATAGACCCTATTTCTAACCAAGAGAAGCCATTTATCTTTCCACTTAAACATCGAAAACAAATATGCAAAACAGATAAAAGAAGCAATTGTTTGAAGACAATAGTGTCTTAGGCAATATGGTATCTACGCAAAGACCCCTAAGACTAGGTATTTTGTATAGAGAAGAGGTTTATTGAGCTCATAGTTATGAAGGTTCAAGAGCATGGCACCCTCATTCACTCAGCTATGGGCAACATCTGATGGCTGATGGGTCACAATGGTAGAAGTGCATGTCAGACTATGCAGACCATGAAGACCATGCAGAAAACAGGAAACAAGACCAGAGAAGACAGGATCACTTTTTTTGAAGGGGGGGGAAGGGAGGTTCGGTCGTGCAGCCTGAACTCTGGATCTGGGCCCTGTCCCTCAGCTCTTCAGCTCAAGGCTAGCACTCTACCACTTGAGCTACAGTGCCACGTCCAACTTTTTCTGCTTATGTGGTATTGAGGAATCGAACCTAGGACCTCATGCACTGAAGGCAAGCACTCTACCACTGAGCCACCATCCCAGCCCCACTTTAAAAAAAAAAAAAGAAAAAAAAAAAAAGCTGCCCTCGTGGAACTGATCTACCCCACCTAGACCTCACCACTGTCAAGAAGCAGCAGTAATCCATTCTTTTTTTTTTGGGCCTGGGCACTGTCCCTCAGCTCTTCAGCTCAAGGCTAGCGCTCTACCACTTGAGCCACAGTGCCACTTTCGGCTTTTTTCTTTTTGCTTATGTGGTGCTGAGGGCCTCAGGCATGCAAGGCAAGTGCTCTACCACTGAGCCACCTTCCCAGCCCCAGTAATCCATTCTTGATGGTAAAGTATCCATGACCTAGTTACTTTATAATGTTGCTTGGGTTTTGCCAACTTAACATCAACATACTGGGGACTAAGCTTCTAGCATATGAACCTTTGGGGGAAAATATCTACATCATCAAAAAGAAGAAACACAGGCCCAAATCCCTAAAGAGAAAGGAAACACTTAGCTTGATCCCTAAAATTGCATGAATGTATTTCTTACAGGCAATTTCCAGCATTACATCATGAAAGTGACATGTAAACAAAATCCCGTCAAGCTCCTGGGTTGAGTGGCAGTGATAGAGGTTTGGGGGAGGTGATGTAGATAAAAATCTTAGGACAGAGTATCAGGGAGAATGGGACTCTGCAAAGAAAGCAAGCTCATGGACCACAGAGGACTCCTTGGAGTTTTGGCTAAGAATCAAACCATGGGCATTACAAATTTGCTGCCCCAAAAGAGAGTAAAAAAAAGTTTGCATTATTTGAAAGAAAATTGTTTATAGCATGTTCACTATCTTTTATAACCCTCCAGGAGTAGAAACTTGTTTCCTTTTATTATATTTTATCCACCTGTTAATTTTAGCCAAATAAATTGAGCTGAACAAGCTGACACTGTATTTCCTTCTTGCCTATGTTTCCACAGTTTCAGTTACTTGTGGTCAACCATAGTCTGAAAACATAAGTGAAAATTCCAGAAATAAGCATTTCATGATTCCAAACTGCATACAGTTCTGAGTAACAAGATGAATCCAGTACTATCCTATACCATCCTGTCTGGAACATTATCCCCATTTGTCCAGGGTATCTCAGTATCACATATATATATATGATACATACAGATACTCATAGTTCAGTAGGGAAATATTTATTCAATATATTTGAGTATAAATGTTACAGTATAATAATGGAAGTATATACTAATAGAATGGGTAGATTAGAAGAGGAGAAAATAAGCTCTTTGTGAGAAGGGGTGTTAGGAAAGATTTCCAGGGAAGATCTCCTAATTGGAATTTGGAGACAAAAAGGAGTTCCCAAACAGACAACAAGGGCATAAATGAAAGTCCTGGAGGAAAGATTTGTGAAGTTTTAAAGATGTAAAAAGTCGTTTTGGGAGCACTAGATAGGTTGTGGAAGAAAATGAGCCTGCAAATTCAGGCAAAGGTCATATCATAAAATTGTTAAATGTCATTTTGAGGAACTTGGAGTCCTTTAGTAGGTGATGAGGAGTCAGAGATGATAAATGTATTTCCCCTTTTTGTATTAGGGAAAAAATTGTATTACATACTCAACAAACATTAGTTGAGTACATGTAACATTTTAGGCATTTTTCTGGGTTCTAGATTATTTAATAGAATTACGCCTTTAAAGTCACCATAAAAACATTATTTTTGTTGTTGCTATAAGGTAGGTAGCCTAGATTTTATTTATAGTCTCTATCTTCCCAATTAATTATTGGCATAAACTTGTAGGACAGTATTCTAATTCTGTTGGTAATGCTAACCACACCACTTTGAATCATTTCTGCCAGGCAGCAGATTTTTCAATAACCCACTTCATAAACTGTAATTAGTCTTCTATAAAGGGAAAATTATTTCTTTCTAAATTTCAATCTTCATTATGTTTTTGCCATGCATTATTATCTATGCATTTCTATTTGGAGTTAACCCAAAGGAATTCTCATCTTTTCAGCCTACAAACTCCTCAATTTAAAATAGTTTTCTATTATAAACTTCTATTATATAGAAGAAAGTAAGAATTTCTGAAATTAGCTTAATAGGCATCAGGAAAAAGTAACAACAGTCATTAGTCAGAAAACTATTACATGGAAGAACTAATAAATACTAAGTACTACTAAGAATCAAATGCGCATCAGAATTACAAATAGACTGTGTGTGTGTGTGTGTGTGTGTGTGTGTGTGTGTGTGTGTGTGTGTGTGTATTGACCATCAGTTAATTGTATATTAGGGTTCAGGACTTAAATTTTTAAAATGAGAAATAGCAAAGAAAGAAATAAGCAACATCTTCAGTATTTATTACATGTATACATACTATGTTGTATTTTAACATACAAAGCATATTCCCAAATGTGTTGCATTTGTGTCCTTCATAGATGAAAACAATTCTTCACACTTTGATGAAAAAAAAAAGATCCAAAGTTGACTGTTTGTGGACAAAAATAAGTTATTTTAGGACAAAATCTTGCACACTGTAATTATTCTGTATCAACAAGAGAACCAGCCAGGTGCGAGTGCTCATGCCTGTAATTCTAGCTACTGAGGAGGTTGACTGCTGAGGATAGTGGTTCAAAGTCAGCCCAGGCAGGGAAGTCCGTGAGACTCTTAGCTCCAATAACCACCAGATAACTGGAAGTGGTGCTGTGGCTCAAAGTAGAAGAGCACTAGCCTTGAGCAAAAAAAAAAACAAAAACCCTTAGGGACAGTGCCCAGGCACCTGACCCCCCCCCCCCAAAAAAAAAATAGGAGGAAGAAGAGGGAAGGGGGGGAGAGGGGGGAGGGGGAGGGAGAGGGGAGGGGGAGGGAAGGGGGAGGAGGAGGGGGAGGAGGAGGCGGCAAGTATATGGTAATATGGCAAAGAATTGTGGGTTTACATTAGTTATTAGGATGAGTGACTTGACTGAGAGGGTTGCTCAATTTATCATTGGATTTTCTGAAGGCTTTTTCTATCTCTAGGCATACGCTGACTATCAGCCACATACTTTGCTATTAACAAGGGAAGAGACAGGATTTTTCAAGATCCTGTCAAGCCTGGTGATCCCTTTTTATTTCTTCAGAAATAAAAGCTAACCAAGAGGCTTCCTAGGGACAAGCAAAAGAAGTTCTTTTTTTACTGCTCTTATTCCTATTACCGGAAGCCTATTCCTCTCTTTTTATTCAGTTTATGCTGAAACTTAATACATATTGTACAAGTTTCCACCTTTGCTTTCAGTTCTGTAAATGCATTAGCCTATTAGAATAAAGAGTTTTAAATCCGTTGCCTTACCTTTAACTTATTTAGATTTCAAGCCTCTTCTTTTCCACTAGAGCTCAACACTAAAAAATTTTCTAAACCTTTTCTCCAAATTTTGTAACTTCTAATAAAAGTCTGACCAAAAGGTTACAGTGTTCTTCAGATGTCTTTGTAACAAAGCTATCTGATAAATAATACGTTGTCAAAAAATAATACTTTGTCAAATTTCAATTCAGCTTTATGTTCTTCTGACTTCAAAGATTATGGTCACATTAAATGACCTGTGTTAAATTACTGTTGGATTCAGATGGACAGGTTTTCACTTGGAAACTATTTTAGGAGTGAGTCTCGGTATAATTATCACAACTTGGGGTGGCAAAGGAGGGAAAAACTTGGCGAGCGAGAGACGGGTGACATTGTCCAAAAGGAAATAAAACTCTTTATCTGATTTCTGTTAACTGTGATCCCTCGGTACAGCACTTTTATATTAACAATAAGAAATACAAGTTAAAAAAGAGACTGATGCGTCTTTAAAAGCTTGGCATAATAGTGCCATTCTTTTGTGAAACAGGCCCTACATCCCAACAAACCACATCCACACACACCATCGCAAAGACAGGGTACAACCTCGTGCTCGTTAGTCATTTCCCGCTCTCGAAGCTCAAGGCGAGACTTTGCCCTGATTGGTGCTCGGGCTTGTCAATCACCTAAAGAGAGCGAGCGTGAGGACTGAAGACGGATCTCTGAAACGCGGTGATTTTTACGTCATCGCACAGCGACGAAAGCAGAAGAGGGCGGGGCTGAGCTTCGGCGCGTCGCTCCGCAGCGGCGGTGGGGGCGGCAGCGAAAGTGTCATGGCTGCTGCCGCGGAGCTTAGTTTTCCCAGCAGCGGTGACAGGGACCTGGAACGAAGTTGCAGCCCTCATCTCTCCCAAGAAGTGCTCTGCGAAATTTTTCGGTCGCTGCACACGCTGGCTGGACAGGTGACTGGAAGGCCGGGCTTGGGAAACCCATCGGCCCCTCCTCCTCCGGCATTGCTGGAGGTGGCTGGGCTGGAGGGGGGTGGGGAGTGGGGGGGGGGGAGGCCGGGGGAGCGGGGAAGGGAGCCGGGAGGGGGCCCGAGGGGGGCCGGCCTGGGTGGACCGGGAGGCGGGGAGCAGCGGAGCGGGCTCCGGGTGTGGGCCGCGGCCTGGGGTGGGGGAGCCGAGCCCCGCTGTGTCCGGCCGCCGTGGAGGCCGCTGGATGATGGCCGTACCCGCGTAGCTCGGCCCCGGCTGCCGTGGTCTCGGAGAAATCTGGCTCTGAAAGGAGCACGGAGGCGCCAAAACTGCCCTGAGGAGTTAGGGGGCAACTGGTGCTTAGAGTCCCCCCCCCCCCCCCAGCCCCCTCCAGTTTATCCATCAGACCAGTTGGTTGGTCATTGCAGCCTGAAATTTTGGGAAAAGCTCTCTCTGGACATTGTTGATTTGCTGATTCTCCCCCTTCCCCTCCCCCTTTTTTTTCTGGCTGTTAATGTGCATCTCTTACTCTCTCCGACTGGGAGAAAAGTAAAAGGCATTAAAGTTGATGAGTTCATGCTTGGCGGATGCTAATTGGCATTTTTCTTTAAAAGGTCCTTACACCCCTTGATAAAATCGGTTTCAGCAAATTATCAAAGCAAGTTTTAAATGAGTAAAGTATGTTTTGTTTTAAAAATACATTTCTTATATAATACGAGCCGTTTCTTAGTCTGTTCTTGGGCTGGGACTAGTGAAGGTAATGAACGCAGCCAGGCATTTGTGCCAATTACTATGAAAATGGAATTTGTCTGATAATGTGAGAATTATTTTTACCAGCCTTTGGTGGTTTTAATCTCTTAAAGTCCCCATATATTTGTTGTTTCACATACAGTTTTGTGTAAGAAAGCAATTATTAACAAAAAGATAACTTTCAAACTCAGTTGCTTACCAAAGACAGCAAAAAAAAATGTTAAGTTTAGAGACCTGATTGTTGTTAATATTTCGCTTAAGACTCAAGACCTTTAAGTAGAGGCTCAAAACAGCACTTCATTATAGCATGGATATTGGAGCCTTAAAGTTTATTAATATTGTAACATCAAGAAGGAAAAACAGTTCACTTATTATTTACAGGACTTTGAAAAATTACATTGAGAAATGACGTAAAGATTTGAGGTATTTTTCATACTAAAATTTTCAAACTCGTAGAAAAATTTAAACAATCGGAATTCTTCAAGTTCAGTTAGAAAAGTGATTAAATTTTACTTACTTTACCTGTCAGGTGTTTAACTATTTGTAAGTTTTCAATGACATAGTGAAACGACTTTCTATACAGAGTGTCAAAAATAAGATTATTTCATCAATTAAATGATAGTATTTTGGTATTATTTCTGAGACATATTGGTTAAATGTATTTTGAAAGCCAAACTATACTCCACCTGGGAGTATTTCCTTTTACAACATGCTTAAAGGATTATCAAAATGTATATTGTAATATGTCTTAAATTCATCCTAAATGTTGTATTACTAGCTCTCTTCAATAGAAAACAAAAAATTGAATGTTGAAAAGTACTAACTTAAAATTGCAGTTGCTGGTTTTATCCTTTTTGCTTGCCACTGAATGGCCCAGTTTCACGAAGTTAAAGATTTAGTGTTAACTTGGGTTTTTGTATTTATTTAATGTTCCTACTCAAAGTGTGTGTTTAGTCTATAGAAATTCTCAAGTAATTAATTTACCCCACCAAAATCCACAGGGTAAAAAATGGATACAATTCATATTACTAATGGGGAATTTTTGAATGTATAACTAGGCATATTGAGATCATTTTTTTGTGACATGTAGTTTTCTTAACACACAAGATATCCTTAATTGCATTTGAAAGCTTACATAATTATACTGTGCTGACATGAAAATGTGATCAAGGCATTAAGATTAACTTTCTATAAGTTACATTGTCTAGAAAATGAGATGTGTTGTTTTGGTTTGGGTTTGTCTGCTCTTTCCCAAAACCATATTCATAAAGTTTCTGTAACTGTAGATTTCTTGGAGGACTGTAAAAATATGATAATGAGTTAGACACACAAAAGTTGTCTAACAACATTACATAGGTATTAGAGTAATACCCGTTAGGGCTAATGCATTAATGTGAAATCTCAATTAAATTGATAGAAACTTATCTTTACCAATGAAGCCTACAAAAATTTCCCTTCATGTCTGTCAAACATGGGCTTTAAAGTGCTTCTAGCAAATTTCTGGAAGTAAATTTCTGTCACATAGTATTTATTCAATATTGTTGATCTGGAATCTATTTGATTTTATATGCAGTGATTCTTCTTTTAGTTTTATCATTACAATAAGATCTGTATTTGAACTCATGTAACATGTTTTAGTTTTATAAAAAATATGACTAATTTTTAACAAATTATTCCCTGAAAATTAAAATATAATGTACTTGATTCCATTATAGAATATACCCTTATACTACACAAAAAATGATTACAAAGGGAAGCTCTCTTAACATTTTCATCGATCTTGTATTAATTTTATAGTGAGATTCTTAGTAGTTTTCTGGATATGATTTTGTTCTAATAAATTAAAAACTGATAGGGAATTTTAATGAATAAGACCTCACCTCTTACTAGAAAATACTTTTTAGCCAAAAGCCTGGACATTCTATCCAGTTTCTATTTTACTGTTTTTCAGCTTCAGACTTCTATAACTAAGTAATAGTTTAATTTTTGAAGTAGATAAGCCAGTTGCCATTTATCCCTGGTCTTTATATCTATGAATAATCTTGATTTTTAAGTTCTTCTAAAAATTGAAGTTGGAAACAATAAAAATGTAAATGAAGAATGAAGTATTTTAGGTTTCTATTTGTGCATATGTTTAACAAAGAAAAACATATTAGAACTTTTTAAAAACAGTTGTACGGCTTCTGTTTAATTCCTTGAGTTGGAAGTAAGAGAATTCTGAATAAGACAAGCTTATTTTGGACCCCATCCAAAGGGTTTTTTTAGATGCTGAAGTATCTGAAAAGTCTTCATCTTTTTATCCTTCATGAATAGTCTAATCTCTAAGATGGTCCCATTATACAGACATAAAAATAGAATTCAAACAAGATGTTATTTTTTAAAATGGAAACTACCTTCTGAGCCTTTTAAGATGATAATTAAGTAGAACATTTTATCATTAAAAACTTGATAACAGAGCAGAATAGACATTTGTTACTGCAAAACAATCTTATTTTTGTGACAATCCCAGCTTAATCGTGTAATTTTTGTGATGTTGCTGGTTTGCCCTTTTGAAGCTTAACCTCAAAGATGATGTGGTGAAAATTACAATCGATTGGAACAAGCTCCAGAGCCTCTCAGCATTCCAACCTACATTGCTTTTTAGTGTGCTTGAGCAACACATTTTGCATTTACAGGTAAATTTCTTGTTAGAAATGTTAACTTGATATTGAAAATAGAAATTGATTGCGATTAAATTATCTGAGTATTTCATCAGTTCTATCTTAACACCATATTAGTACTGTTATTAATAAAAGGCTACTTAGACCTAGATTAAATCTAAACCTGTTAATTTCTGTAGTAATCAGGACAGTTTAAGGGAATATAATTCAATAGACCAATGTGAGTGAGACTGGATGAATGTAGTTTTATTCAATTCTAGACTTGCACTGAAAATTCAATACAGTTCCATCTATGGTGGGTTATAATTAAGCAATAAGACACGGCAGGTGTGTGTCATGCTATGATAATGATTCCATGCCTTGGGTGAGTTTGGAGGCTCATGGAGTGCTTTCAGTGGTTCAAGAAGTGGCATTATCCCAGCATGACACATCCTGGAGTGTCTATTGCAATTAAACAGTTTCAGCATAGTTTTTAAAAAGAAAGTAATTTCTGTGACATTAATGTCTCATCTTAGTAAGTAGCCAGTCACTATTTTAACAGTTTGAAATAATTCATCTCTGATATTGGAAGTCAATATTGAATTGAATTTATGAGTTGTTATATTTTTTAGTATTCCAGTTCAATAACTGAACAGTTTATGGCATTGTTTGTTGCAGTTGAACATCTGCAGCTACAGTTGCAGTTTATCTTTAATCAAAGTATAAAATGTGAAGTCTCAAACTGTACTGGTGGCTTTATTCTGATGAAGATGTTATAGGGTTTCAGGAGAGTATTTGGTATGGCTAACAATGGAAGCAAAATTGTAGGTATGAAAAAATTGGAACATTGGTAAGTGTTGGTGTGTTTTGACTAATGGAATAGACATTAATTTTCAATCTTGCATTCAGTGACTTCCAGGGAAAAATTAACTGTGTTTCACATTAAAAGAATAGTTAACCTTGTTTATAAAGGGCAAAGTAAAGAGCTATAGAATTGAAATGAGGCTTGGGAGGAGGGAGAGAGGAATTGAAGTAAAATGAGTAATACAATTTACATTGTACAATAGGATATTTTTTTGTCCCCTCTGTATAGTGATAAGCATGTACCTGTTTTCAGCCGTGGATCTTGTTAGCTTTTTTTTTTTCTTTTCTGTTTCATTTTCTTTTGTAAAATTTAATCTTATGACCCAAGAAGAAGATAGCCTGCCATGTCAGGAAAGGCCAGTGTGTTCACTCAGCATAACACCTATATATTTCATGTCCAAGCTCTCTCATTCACTTTAGGCAACTGCAGTTTCAAGTGGAGAATCTCCAGTGATACAGCGATAATGCAGGGCTTTGCTGAGTGAGAGCTGTGGCTCTCCTGTTAAGGAGGAAAAATACTAAGCCTTAGTGTTCTAAGAAGGCATTTGAATGACATGTTAATTAAGTGGCATTGGTGCCAGAGGCTGAAGGCTTTGATTTGGCACAAAATAAAAGATGACTGACAGAATGATTTTCTCAAAGAAATTTTTAAATTTCCTTAGGTTTTCTTTCTTTTTTTTAAATAAACAAATTTATAGCAAATGGTAATGATCACAATAGCAGAAATTAGCAAGTACTTGTATATGACTAGACATGTATATCCTTGTGTGCCAATTTTTATATTTAATAATTATATTAAAATTTTTACCTAGTGGAAGTTTATATTAGGTATATCATTAATTTTGGTAGTTTGAACCCAGCAGATGCAGTTTTGTTCTTTTCAGCCTTTTTTAGAAAAACTTCAACCTCTGATTAAGGAGGAGAAGCCAGCTGCTGTTGAAGAGATAGAAAAAACAGAAACTATGAACAAGGATGAACTAAATGCCAAATTTCCTAGTGGTGATCAACAAGAGGAAGAAAAGCATAAAGATTGTGATTTAGGAGATGTGAAAAAGGCACAGATCCATTTTGATCCAGAAGTAGTTCAAATAAAAGCTGGAAAAGCAGAAGTAAGACCTTTGGTGGAATGAGGGAAGGGGGGTGGGGTTATTACTTTCTAAAAGCCCTACTGTGTTTATATCAGTAAAACATACTTTTTGCTTGTAGATTGACAGAAGGATATCTGCATTTATTGAAAGAAAACAAGCTGAAATAAATGAAAACAACGTCAGGGAATTTTGCAATGTTATTGATTGTAATCAAGGTAACTACTTAGCAGTTAATTTTCACAGCAATTTTTTAATGTGTGTGTGCTGGACCTGTGGCTTAAACTCAGGGCCTGGGCACTGTCCTGAGTTGTTTTTGTTCAAGGCTAGCACTCTACCACTTGAGCCACAGCTCTATTTTCAGTTTTTTTTTCAGTGGTTAATTGGAGATAACGGTCTCCCAGAATTTTCTTGCCCAGGCTGACTTTGAACTACAGTCCTCAGATCTCAGCCTACTGAGTGGTTAGGATTACAGGTGTGAGCCACCAGTGCCCAGCTCTCATAGCATTTTTAAAGCAATTTTTACAGTTGCTCTATTCCTTTTTTTTTTTTTTAAATGACATTCAGAACACAATTCAGTTTATTTCACAGGTGTTCAATTACTAAGGTAGTGTAATTTCTTTGTATTTAATAATAGTCTATTACAAAACTGGTTTTCATTTTGTTACACAAATAAATATAAGGTGGTTCAGTCTCATTATTATGAAGGTACAGAGCAATATAGATTTCAAGCTTGAAAATGGACTTGTGAAATTATGTTAATATAAAGTGAACTTAGTAAAGTTAATAATTTTCCTCAAGAGGGAGCAGTTTTCTTACTACTCCTGAGCTATATAAAATGTTTTATGTTACAATTCAGCCAGTTTGTCATGAAGACTATGAGGATTTAAGCTTTTTTCCTTTCTCTCATAACATATACATTGCTACTATTCATCACATTTCCCTTTCCCTCTTCATTTGATTGTATAGTACATTTACAGAGCTGTAGGTATGCTGCAGAATACAAACTATTGAGTAGAACTACATCATGTTCAGGAATTTTAGTAATATTTAGGACAAGTAGTCCTTAGAAAAGAAAAACTTATGGAGAAGGATTCATAATTGGGATGAAAATTTTTTTGTTACTTCTGATTATCTCTTGGCTAACTATGAATATAGAACTGTCAAATGAACCTAGAAATGACTCATATCACAGTATACAATGATTCTTTTAATGAAATAATACAGATTCAGTTTGAGTCCTACACTGAATTTTTCTATTAACTTTTACATGTGTATCTCTAAGTTTGGTATATTTTCCCTTTAGCTTTGCAGAACAGGTACAACAGTAGCAAAATCCCAGGTACCACAACCCAGCTGCAAGCAGCTCACAAGAAAGGGTTTGTTGAAAGAGCAAGCACATGTGTTACTAATGTTATTCCTCAGTTCTCCCTGCTAACTCTATTATTATAAACCACCAGGGGATAGAAATTGACAAGAATTGAAATGCTCAGCAGGATTCCTTGGCCTATTCAGTCCTTCACTGGCTCCAAACAGTGCTAGCAAGATTTGCTGTGGAGAGTGGCTAGCACTCATAGGTTCACCGTGCTGAATTCCTCACTGATGGGTCAGTTAATGTATATATTTGGAATATAGTTCTGGAATGGATGAAAGCTTCTTATTTAACCCTTGGCCCAGTGAAAGGGTAGGAAAAGAATGGAGAGGTCACCACCCTTTCAATATACTTTGAGATTCTCCAAATCAAAAGAAAATGACTACATTTAATCTAAAGATGTAAAAGATGACTAGATTTGGAATTATTTACTCAGTTTAACTTACTAATAGAGCAATTAAACTTCAATAAACAGAAATACATTTTAATGTTGGTGTATGTTAGTGTATTCCTTAGAAGACCTCTCAGTTTGACCATAGTATAGACAATGGACTGTTGAAACTCAAAATATATAAAGGAAAACTTTTCTAAATAAAAGAATTTTTCTTCAGTACCTCTTTTACTCACCATTCCTTTACAAAGCAGTTAAAGGAACTTTTCAGCTATTTATTGCCAATTAATGATATTTTTATTTCAAGCATTAGTATGTGTTGCTACAAATTGTATAATATATGACATAATTGTGTTAATATGTAATAGTATCTTGACATTTTTGCAGTCTCCTCCCGCCTCCCCCTGCCCCCAGACAGTTCAACTTCAATATCTAAAGAATGTACTTTTCTACTTGGAGAAGTTTTAGAACAAGTTTTCACAACATATCTTTCCTACTGCATTTAGAAAAAACAAAACAAAAAGGACTGTATGGCTTTTTTTTTTCTTTTTTTGCTTGTGTGCCAGTCCTGGGGCTTGAACTCAGGTCCTGGGTACTATTCCTGAGCTTGTTTGCTCAAAGTTAGTCCTCTACCACTTGAGTTACAGCTTCACTTCCAGCTTTTTGGTGGCTAATTGGAGATAAGAGTCTCATGAACTTTTCTGCCCTCGCTAGTTTTGAATTTTGATCTACAGATCTGTTTCCTGGGTAGCCAAAATTACAGGTATGAGCCATCAGCACCCAGCAGTTATATGCAACATTTTTTATTAGGATTTTTTTTTTAAATGAACATTGGAAATCCTAGAGTGGGAAAGTATGGTTGTACTTGAGATTTCAGGGTCTTTTTTAATGTGTTGTAAAATATGTTAACTATGCAGTTCATTTTTTATTAGATATTTACTAACTTGGTCAGTAATGTCAAAAATCCTGGATTTTAAGTAAATAGTTTGGAAAATATTTTATATTTTAGTACAAAGATTGCAGTGAAAATGAGTTCTGTTTCTAATGATAATGTAAAGTTAAACTATGGTACTATATGTTATATAAATTATTTTCCCCAAAGGCCTAAGAGGTTTTTTTAATAATACTGGCTTTCATTAAAAATGGTATGAAAAAAGAATAGAAACTGGGGCTGGGAAGGTGGCTCAGTGGTAGAGTGTTTGCCTTGCATGCATGAGGCCCCTGGGTTCGATTCCTCAGCACCATATAAGCAAAAAAAAAAAAAAAAACGCCGGAAGTGGTGCTGTGGCTCAAGAGGTAGAGCGCTATCCTTGATCTGAAGAGCTGAGGGACAGTGCCCAGGCCCAGAGTTCAGGCCCCATAACAGACAAAAAAAAAAAAAAAAAAAAGGTATGAAATTATACTACTTAATGGATTTCTGTATGTAAATCTGAACATTCAATTTAAAATAATAGGGGATATGGATTCATTGTAGAAGATAAAATTTACTCAGTTCTAATTTGTATATGATGGTAATTTAATTATTACTACTATTTAAAATTATATTCTTTTATGAGTAATATGAATTACTAGAAGTTTATCAAAATCTCATATATTTGTAATTAAGAATACATTTAAACTAATACTCATCTAAATTCTCCTTAGAAAATAGTTGTGCAAGAACTGATGCCATTTTTACCCCTTACCCTGGATTTAAAAGTCACGTAAAGGGTAAGTACCTACCACACACTATCTTTGTCACTGGCAGAAGTTTATTCTAGAGTACTAGCAAAATAGAAGTTAAAACTTTACCACTTAAATTGTGTTTATTTTAAAACAAAGATAGTGCTTTTCCTCATCCTTGGGTTTGTGATATCTTCATGAAAAGAATATAAAGTACTGTTAGAATTTCTTTTCCTATTTTTGAAATGTAAATTTACACCAGCCTTAAGTTTCTTAACTTAGTTTCTAGAGTTGTGAATACATATGGGCCACAAACTAGACCTGAAGGAATCCAAGGGTCAAGTCATAAACCTGCCAGCATGTTTCGAGATTGTGGTAATCAGGCTGTGGAAGAACGACTACAGAATATTGAGGCTCACTTGCGATTGCACACAGGTAAGCAATGAGTATGCTAAGCCCCATAATGTACGTTTACAAGTGGTTAAGGAAATCCTTACTCAGTTGATCTCCAAATTATTGTTGGATATCCATTATGTCTGATTGGTACAGATATGAAAAAAATATTATTACGTTAAGCAAAGTAAGCCAGATCCAAAGAAACATAGGTTGTATGATTTCCCTCATTTGTAATAATTAGAATGTGCCTGTAAATCTAGAAGTAAACCTAATGGACAGTAAAAAACAAAAAATTACACTTAGACACGATAAAGTAAAAAACAGGATTCTAAACATTCACACAGTGAGACAGAAGGAGGATATTCTTAGGGGAGGATCACAAAGGCTCAATAGCTATGTGTGTATGATCATATAAAGTGATGCTTATGAAATTAACTTCAAGAAATGGAAACTAGATTTTTACTTTTTGTGTTTTGTTTTTTCCCTTTAGTTATTGTTTTTAATTTCTGTAACTTTTCTATGTAAATTTGTCTGATTTGGGAATTGTACACAGAAAGGGTAGAACAAAGGGTGAACTAATTCAGCAGTGTTACTCACTAGACTTTATGTTGAAAATGAACTATACAGCTTATGGAGGAGGGTGGTTGTGAGGGAAAAACCTGGGGGAAAATAAGGGAAGAGGTGACATTGTTCAAAAAGAAATGTACTCATTACCTGACTTATGTAACTGTAACCCCTTTGTACCTCACCTTTACAATTAAAATTTAAAAAAATATACTGTTAACTGATCTCAAGGAATTCAGTTTTTACTTATGCTTTTTCTCTTCATATTTTAACTACTTTCCTAAAATTGAGAAAGTGCTAGTCAGTAAGTAACAGATTCCAAATAGATCTATTAGTCTGTTTATTGAAGTCACAGCTGAAAACTTAAGTGGTCTTTTCCTGTGATCAATTTCAGAACTTAGAATCCTCTCTGACTCTTATCACTTGCTACCAGGTATAGAGTGGTAATACATGTGGTCCTACTTCTCAAGGATCTCTAAGTAAGGATAAGCAAATCAATAAATATATACCATAGGAAAATGAACTAACACTTATTAAACATAACTGCCAGTCACTATGAAAGTGTTATGTATATATCAGCTTAGTGCTTAATAGTGCCCTTTTGAGGTTTTAGTGTTGTTAACAATTGTACAAATAAGGAAAATGAAGTTTAGAGAACTCAAGCAACATTACCAAGAGTGTACATAACAACTGGAAGCCCAGCCCAAATATCAACCTGGAGGTCAAGCCTTAGTCTCCTCCATTTAGTCACCATGTCATGCTGGTTCTGACTTTGAAATGCATTCCATATCTGCCCACTTCTGTCTATCTCCATGACTTTATAGATGAAGCCACCAAGATCTCTGCCTTAGACTGTTGGAAGGATATTAACTACTCTGTTTGCCACTGAACTTTCTCTTTCAGTTCATTACTTACTCTGTGGCCAAGTTGCTTCTTTTTCAGCTTGAACCCAATTTTGTTTCTACACAGATTAATGATTTTCTGTGGCCTTTACGTGCCACAAATTTAGTATTTATACATTTGTGCAACAAATAGTACTGAACTGCTTGAAATGTTAAGATTACATCTGAACAGAAATTCTGTTTGGGGTAGACAGGCACTATAAATAATAAGTTACATGAAATGCTTAAAAAAAGTGGCTGAAGATAAAAGCAACTCTACCAAGAGAAGGGAAAGAATATTGGGGTCAGAGGAAGTCATAATTATAGATACGATACTCCCATATTTTCAGGCATATCTCCGGACTTCACATCATCTGGTGCCCTATGGCCTTTGTGTTCATGCTTCCCTTGCCAAACCTAGACTGGTGTGGATCCCCTTTTTATATGGTTTCATAGCACCTGCTGCTTCCTGCATTCCTTTAAATGAGTTATTATACCTCTATTCATTTAATGTCCATGTTCTATGCTAGCTAATAAGGTCTCATCCAGTTCATTAGTAGCTAGTAGCTAGTACAATGCCTAGAGCAAAGCAGGTACCCAAATGTTTATTGTATAACCGTTTGTTTGTTTTACCACTTTCAGATATGTACACAATATAGAGGAAGATAGAAGTAGCCTTAGCTCTTGGGAGAGGTCAAAGGATGGCATGAAGTGATGTTTGAGCCCTTGAGGTATTAGTAAGAATTTTCCAAGAGCCAGGTATTCTAAAAGGGGGAATAGTGTCTGTAACAAATTTCAGGAGATCAAAATACTGTTCAGGATATTTTAAAGCTAGCCTAGCTGTGATATTTGCTACCTAGAGGTAGAAGATAAGGGAATGATAAGTTTTTAAGAGAAGTAAGGCATTGACATTAAGAATCACTCCCACAAAAGGAAATGAATTCCAGATGCAACTGTATAAAAGAACTGACCAGTTAAATAGTCAAGTAGTTAACTTTTGGATAAATATCTATTGGATGCTTACTATGTACCAAGCACTATTTTAAAGTATAAGAAACACTGAGATGATATGGCTAGAGGCCCTGGCTTCAAAGACTTATAATATAGATCGGAGAAAGATTAATAATGATGTAGAATTTTAAAGGGCAGATACAAAGCATATGGTAGAGGCACAAGGATCCTTGTATAGTCCAGGCAGTGCCTTATGACCTAGTAACTTGAACTAGCTCTGAAAGGTATAAGGGATATGAGAAGCCAACTTAAAAAAAGTTACTCAAATTACCTTATTCAGGAGCACAGTCAAGTTCCTAAGATAAAGAATATATTCTCAACAAAGTCCTAGAGTTTTTAATGCTTAAAAGTAAAAAATAAATGTAATTTAAATTGATGAAATAAGTTATATTCTTTAATGGCATAGTGATTGTCTAATCGTGTATTGATTTAACCAGTAAATATTGAGTGCTTGCTCTGTGCCAAGCATTGTAGTCTTATGGCCCATAGAACAAAACAGAACTCAAAAAAAAAAAAAAAAAACAGAACTCTTTCTAGAGCTTAAATTAGAATAGAGAGATAAATAAACAAGATGTTGGCTGGTAAAGATATAAAGAGGGGCTGGGAAGGTGGCTCAGTGGTAGAGTACTTGTCTTGCATGCATGAGGCCCTGGGTTCGATTCCTCAGCACCACATAAGCAAAAAGAAAAAAAGCCAGAAGTGGCACTGTAGCTCAAGTGGTAGAATACTAGCCTTGAGCTGAAGAGCTGAAGGACAGTGCCCAGGCCCAGAGTTAAGATCCCACGACCGGCCCTTCCCCCCCCCCCCCCCAAAAAAAAAAAAAAGATATAAAGAAAATCAAGAAGATAGGTAGTGCTGAGTATTGGAAAGTAGTAGTAGTAACTGATATTTTTTAAATGGTGTCAGAGAAGGCCTTAGCGATAAAGGTAACTTTTGAGCTAAATCCTGAAACTAGCCAAAGCAACACTTGGAATTATGGAAGTAAATGGAACCACAATTGCGAAAGCTATCATGGTGCTTTATTGAGTTACAGAACAAAAGAAACCTGTCGCTGGAAATCTATAGGGAAAATGTAGGGCCTTGTAGGCTAGTGTACAGATTTATAGACTATTATAAAGGTTTCATTTGAGTGAAATGATAAGTTGGAAATTGAAAGATTTAAACAAATTGAATACACCCTTGATGCAAGGCAGAAACGGGAGATCAATCCAAAGTTGTGGTAATTCAGGGAGCTAATAGTAGTAGTCAGGATTAGAATGATTGCATTGGTGGTGTAAGAGTGAAAGAATATATTCTTTTTTTTTTTTTGGCCAGTCTTGGGTCTTGAATTCTGGGCTTGGGCACTATCCCTCAGCTTTTCAGCTCAAGGCGAGTGCTCTACCAATTGAGCCACAGCGTCACTTCAGGTTTTCTAGTGGTTTATTGGATATTTAAAGAGTCTCACGAACTTTCCTATCCAGGCTGGCTTTGTACTGGGATCATCAGATCTCATTCTCCTGAGTAGCAGGATTACAGGCGTGAGCCACCAGCACCCAGCTTAAGAATATATTCTTGAACTTGAAATTTGAGTGATCTTAATTTACTATTGTTCTTCCCCAAAAGGTTGTTAATTCAGAATTTATTAGAAAGCCTCTTTTTAATATTCTTCTGTTCAAAGAAGGAAAGATAATGGGCCAGGCTCCAGTGGCTCATGCCCTGTACTCCTAGCTACTCAGGAGCCTGAAATCTGAGAATTGTAGTTCAAAGCCAGCTCAGGAAGGAAAGTTTATGAGACTCTTATCTCCTGTTAACCACCAGAAGTGTCACTGACTAGTGGTAAAGCACTAGCCTTGAGCAAAAAGAGCTCAGGGACAATGTACCCAGGCCTAGAGTTCAAGACTCATGGACCAACAAAAAAAAGATTGCATATTGGTAGAAATATGAATTAAATAGTGATAGGACATACTGCAACCACTGAATTAAGTTGTCACTTGTCACTATGCATTTTTCCCCCCAAGTTATTTACATAGCCTATCAGAAATACAAAGTGTTGTATACAGAAACTATTCATTACCTTGTAAAATGAATTTAACACAAAACTAGCATTATACAAAGTATAATGTGACTCAGTAACTCACTGTGACTCAGTGGTAGAGTGCTTGCCTTGCATGCCTGAGGCCCTGGGTTTGATTCCTCAGCACCCCATAAGCAAAAAGAAAAAAGCCAGAAGTGGTGCTGTGGCTCAAGTGGTAGAGCGCTAGCCTTGAGCTGAAGAGCTGAGGGACAGCGCCCAGGCCCAGAGTTTAGGCCCCATGACCGGACCCCCGCCCCCCGCAAAAAAAGAGGAAGTATTAATTTGTCTCATGGCATACCATGTGAAACTATTAACTAAATATTCCATTCTGTTTCACCTTAAGTTGCTTATGTATTTCTAATTTGTTTGCATAAATGTTTGTGCATGGTTGTATAAGAGTAAAAAATTACAAGAAGAAAGAATTAGTCATTGGTGTTTCAAAGTTTTTTTTAATGTCTTTAGGTGGTCCAGTGCCAAGAGATATTTATCAGAGAATTAAAAAACTTGAAGATAAAATCCTTGAATTGGAAGGAATCTCTCCTGAATATTTTCAGTCTATTGTGAGTATCAATGTCTTTTAAAAATAAAGTACTATTGTATTTTCCCGATATTTCATTGTGTAATTCAGTGATCTGTAATGGAAATGATATTTTAATAATTCAAAGATAAAGGGACACGTTCTATGTGTAAGGGGCTAATATACTATTTCTTTTAATTTCTTATTCTCAGGGCTAGGGATGTGGTTCAGTTTAGAACACTTGAACCTAGATGTGCAAGGCCTTGAGTTTGGTCTCCAGCTCCCTCTCCCTCCTGAATATTTTAATATTTACACATTTTAGTAATGGAGACTTTTTATTATACATTTCCCACAATGTCTTAAGCCATTTTCCTGTCATAAGTAGTTGTACAATGGAATTGCCATTTAACAAAGCAGTTTATGAGTACAATGTCTTGATCAATGTCACCCCTTTCAACATTCTCACCCATCCCTCCCCTATCCACCCTCCATCCCTCCCCTATCCACCCTTTGCCTTATTCTTCTTAAATTTGTAGGATATACATTGAATTCTTGTCTGCATTTTCCCTCTCTTCATTCATATGCCCTATTCCCCTTAACCCCACCTCATCTGTTTCAATTACCTGCTTCTGTTGTATGCTGGACTTTGATTATCAGGGTATGGAATCGGTCCAGATTCCCTCTTGATGGATGAATGGATCAAGAAAATGTGGGATATATACACAATGCAAGTTGACTCATCCATCAGAGGAATAGTATTGTGCCATTTGTAAAGAAATGGAAAGACTTGGAAAAAAAAATGTTAAGTAAGTCAGGCCCAGAGAAACAGGATCCTTGTTTATATATATGTATATATATATATATATATATATATATATATATATATTACACATACATACATAGATACGCATACAGTCATAGACACATATATATGTATCTATGTAGAAGCTAGATTTACCTTAAAAACTCATAAGTAAATATGTTGGGTGGTATGCAAATGTATATAAACTTCATTTTTGATAGAGTAGCAATCTTTCCTATGTAGTAGAGTGGATATTACAGTGAGGCACAGAAAAGAACTATTTTTAGAGAAAAGTAAGTCATAACACAAAAGGGCAGCAGATCCTGAAACACAGAAATAGAGTTTTAGTGATATATTGCTCTCAAATATGAAATGAGGTTTATGAAAGTATAAAGGCTGCTGAGGCATGGCTTAAGTGATCCAACACCTTGCCTAACAAGCACATGGCCCTGAGGCCCTAGATTCTCAGTATTAGAGAAAAAAAGTAGTAAGAACTGAAGCACAGATTAATTGAGAAGATAACTAGCACATGGCAAAAAAACTCACTAAATAGTATCATTTATTTAATTCCAGAATTCATCTGTGAAGTAGTGTATAAATGAGGATGAATCAGTCACTTCCTTTATCTTAATTTTAGAAAATGTATTGGTAGTTCTATACCTTAAAAAGATCTTCCTGTAGAATTATTCTTTTTTTTAATTGTAAAAATGTTGTACAGAGGGGTTACAGTTACGTGAGTAGGGTAATGAGCACATTTCATAGCGAGCATTGTTACCTCTGTAGGATTATTCTTTGAATATTTCTCTCTATACAACTTCTTAATAATAGTGATTAAGAACTCAGGTAATTTTTTGCTTCAGATTCATACCTTGTTAATATAAAATTCTTGTTAATAATAGAATTGATATTGCAAGAGAATATGGTAGTGTCAGATGCCTCTAGAAAGACCTTTCTTCATTTATCCCTTTGCTTTTAAATCTGAATCCTAAAGTACCTAGACTTACTTAATAGAAAAATAAGTATTCCATATTATAATTTTGTGGGTGTTTATTTTTATTTTTAAATTTTTTCCGTTGATTTTTACCCACTGTCAGGGTTTGAATTCAGAGCAGTGCACTTGCCTAACACTGGTACCATACCTTCAGCCTTAGTGTATATGTATGTGCTTGAGTGAGTGTGTGTGTAGTACGAATTTATTATACATAGAATGAAATGTTTTGTTAAAGAAATAGAACTGACAGATTGTAGAGGATCATAAATGCAATGCCTACAAGCTTTATATCAGTTTTATTGGCAGGGAAAGTGGGGAGCTTTTGAATATATTTCAGTAGAGAATTGACTCGTGAAAATAGTATTTAGATAGATTTAGCTGATATAGGAGATAACTAAGAATAAGAAGATAATTAAGGATAAGGAGGCAGTATTACACTAGCTTAGATGTGAAGTAAAATTCTGAAATAATGAGAATAGAAAAGATAAATACAAGTAGGAAAGCAAAGTTGAGAGCTACTGAGCAAGTAGAAAGAGGGGACAACAAAGCAAAGTCTAGTTTCTGTCATTGGTTGTATTTAGAAAAATCTAGAGGTGGAATATTTTATGAAAATACAATGTGATTTAAGTTTTTTGAGATATAGGACTTACTCTTGAGACAACTGAGAAGCTGTGTTAAATGCTAGTTAAAACCTCTGTGGATGATAACACTGTAACTGTCACTGAAGTCTGACCCTTGATGTCTGCCTGATTGCAGGATCAGGAAGAACTAAAAATATAGACTATGTTTTTGTATTTCTAAGCCTATAAAATTAGAACCATAGAAAATGAGAAAATTAGCCGGGCGCCGGTGGCTCACGCCTGTAATCCTAGCTACTCAGGAGGCTGAGATCTGAGGATTGAGGTTCAAAGCCAGCCTGGGCAGGAACATCCGTGAGAATCTTATCTCCAATAAACCACCAGAAAACCGGAAGTGGCACTGTAGCTCAAGTGGTAGAGCGTTTGCCTTGAGCTGAAGAGCGCAGGGACAGTGCTCAGGCCCAGAGTTCAAGCGCTATGACCGACAAAAAAAAAAAAGAAAAAAAGTGAAAAAATTAACCTGAGGGATGATAAGACTAATGCTATTTATTTATTATATGTAAAAAATTTTGACAATACTAGGGTTTGACTCAGGACCTCTTCCTACATCCAGTCATCAATATCTATCAGCTTTTCTTACCTATTTTTAGGTATTAATCTTTTCTCATTTATATTCCTATTTCAGGATCTCACTACATATATATATAAGTACAATGTCTTAGATGTTTCAAATTTTTAAGAGGTAGCTTAATAGATTTTAGTGTATTTTTTTTTGAGGGGGGGGCAGTCGTGGAGCCTGAACTCTGGGCCTGGGCACTGTCCCTCAGCTCTTCAGCTCTAGGCTAGCACTCTACCACTTGAGCCACAACGCCACTTTCGGCTTTTTTCTTTTTGCTTATGTGGTGCTGAGGAATCGAACCCAGGGCCTCATGCATGCAAGGCAAGCATTCTGCCACTGAGTCACTTCCCAGCCCAGCTTAATAGATTTTAAAGATAGGATCTTTATGAATATTTCCAAAGACTGGTTTTAAATTATGACATTTGAAAACAGCAAGCATAATGTATTTTATAAGTATATTTGCATAGTACTTCATTTATAATACTTTAGTTGTATAGTTACACTTTTTGTATGGCAGTAATGGGATTTGAACTTCAGTACTGGGTTTTGGATGAATGTGCATAATATCTTTTCATTATGATACAGAAATGATCAATGTAGTTGTAAATTACCTGCCAACATAAAGGAATGGGGGAGAAGAGATCATTTTGAATTGCAGCTGTTTCCCTAATGCTCTGTGCTCCAAGTATTTCCTCTCAAATATCAAACCTTGTTTATATTCAGTTGTCAAAATATACATTTACTAGTTTATCATTCAAAACAAAGTTTAAAGCTAGTTTAGTTTACCAGGCAAGAGTATATGTGGTAAGTACCAGTGAGTCATTTTATTATGTTTTTGAGTTGTTGATCCACTGAGAGCTTTATTTATTCTCCTCATTTTGATTTTTCACTCTGGTTGTATGATAGTAATATTGATAGCTTCTATATCATTAAGCAAACTATTGCTTAATGATATAGAAGCTATCAATATTCTCCTGATTAAAGTGTAATGACATTAAAGGGAAATATATTTTTATTGAATTTATAAAAAAAGCCACTCCTGGGGCTGGGAAGGTGGCTCAGTGGTAGGGCGTTTGCCTTGCATGCCTGAGGCCCTGGGTTTGATTCCTCAGCACCACTGAGGAAAAAAAAAAGCCGGAAGTGGTGCTGTGGCTCAAGTGGTAGAGCGTTAGCCTTGAGCTGAAGAGAGGGTCAGTGCCCAGGCTCAGAGTTCAGGCCCCACGACCAGACCAAAAAAAAAAAAAAAAAAGCCACTCCTTGGATATTTAGGAGACCCAGCAATGGGAAGATTCAACATTCAGTCCTTGCTTACCCAAAGGCCACATGCTAGGTTATCTACAGCATTTTGGCAAAGGAAAGAGCATATCTTTAGCTGCTTTCTATTATTTCACTTAAAATAATTTTAATTTCACAGTGATTTCCTATTTTTTATAATACATAGATATTTGACACAAAAGAAAGTAAGTTTTAATTTCTTTTTTTTGTTTTTGGGTCTGGTTGTGGGGCCTGAACTCGGCTTGGGCGCTGTCCCTCAGCTCTTCAGTTCAAGGCTAGCGCTCTACCACTTGAGCCACAGCGCCACTTCCGGCTTTTTTCTTTTTGCTTATGTGGTGCTGAGGAATCAAACCCAGTGCCTCATGCATGCAAGGCAAGCGCTCTACCACCGAGCCACCTTCCCAGCCCAAGTTTTAATTTTTTATAAATCTCAATGGTCAGAAATGCTCCTGGGAATTTTCATGTATGCATGTATTCACAGACACTGGGGCTTGAACTTAGGGCTTCCACTCTTGTGGTTTTTTTCACACAAGGCTGGTACTCTATACTTGAGGCACAGTTCCACTTCTAACTTTCTGCTATTTAATTAGAGATTAAAGTCTAATGGACTTCCCTTGCCCAGGCTGGCTTCAAATTACCATCCTCTGATATCAGTCTCCTTAGTAGCTTGTATTGTATGAGCAACCAGTGTCTGGCTTCATGGAAAATTTTTCATATACTCAGTCTCTTTGCAAAATATGCCTTTACTAGTTTACCATTCAAAAGCTTGTGATGTTGTACAACTAAGGAATTCATCAGATCAAGGTATAAAAGGCTCAGTAATTGTCAGTTTAAAATATAAGATATCTCTCCCCACATTTTACTGTACTGGGATCGAACCAAGGCCCCTTACATGCTAAGCAAGTGCTGTGCCACTGAGCCACATTCCCACCCCAGATAGAACATACTGAACTAGCCCTAGGTATAAGCTCAATGGCCTGGAAGCTGAGGCAGGAAAATCAAAGTTTGAGGCCAGTCTGGGCTACATAACGAGTTCAGGTCAATCTGGGGTAAATATTCCACCATAGGCAACAAAACAAAACAAAACCTGGCTTACACGGTGGATTGTGAAAAAAGAGTCCAATGATAACACAGTCTTTCAGGGTTTAATTTAGTTAATTGATTTAGGGTCTAAATCTTACTCCTTCATACTGTATTTAGTGCTCACCATTTCTTTCGCTGGCAGATGACAAAATGGCTACAGCACTTTCAGATGTCTCAGTCACATTATAGCAGTGTCCACAATAATTCTTTCTTGAGTACTTTCCTCTCAAAAGATGTAAGGAAGCTTTTTCTAGAAATTCCTTAGTCCTTAGTCCCCTGTAGGCTTGCAGTAAGTAAGGATTGCTCATTGGCCAGAATTGGGCCCATTCCCATTTCAGTCACTGACAAAAGACTTTTGTGGTGGGATCAGCATTCTCTTGAGTCAAACACACAGACAAGCAGCGGATAAAGAAATGCATATTACTTATGATGCCATGATAGTCAAGGGGTGTGTATCTGTGTACCTCCACCTCTTGGCCTAGTCTAGCAAATTCCATTTTTTTCTGGCTATTGCTGCTTTGCTTGTTCAATAAATAGCCTGGAATGGAAAGGAAGGGTTTTTTTTTTTAAAAAAAACAAAACACTCCCATGAATATTTCTTTCCACATCACTCAGGAAAATTAGAAGGTGATAATTAATGTAATAAATGGGAAAGTATGTATTTTCCAGAGACAGACACGTTACTGCAGTGTTCATAGCATTATATATTTAAAAAACATTGGCAGGAAACTTTCAAAGTTTTCAAAGAAAAATATGTTGGTAGAAGATAATGCTTGGTAAGTTTTTCAGCTTATTTTTGTCATATTTCTTCAAGGCTACCCATGTTTTATACAGTATTCTATAAAGGACTTGATGCTTAGATTCTTTTTTTAAGCATTAGTCATTTTTTTTCTTTTTTCTTTTAAACTAGAACTTCTCTGGCAAAAGAAGAAAAGTTCAACCACCTCAAGTAAGTTGAATTGCTGCATCTTCATTTTGACTTCTGTAATGGATTGATGGGTTTTATGCATTGTTAACAAGTGAGTACTCTAGTCACTCTTAAATCATAGCCTGATAAGATTTAGGACTAAAGAAAATGGAAGTTAAGTTAGACAATAATTCATTGCAAGGGCAGTAGATGATGGCAATAGGCAGTAGATGGGTTAACTGAATACAAATATTCCTATCCTGTTTTTAATGTAGACAAATATATCAACAGCAAAATAAATGCTTAGAAATAATTAATGCTCAAGTAACTTCAGTCTCAAGGAGTCTAGGAGTCTCCTCTGCACAAAGATAAAGACTTAATTAGTCGTATATAAATCAAAAAGAAGGTCAGTGCTGGTGATTCATACCTGTAATTTTAACTACTTAGGAGGCTGAAATATGAGGATCCTGGTTCAAAGCCAGCTGGAGGAGGAAAGTCCATGAGACTTTTATTTCTAATTAACCACCAAAAAATGCCAGAAGTAGAGCTGTGATTCAAGTAGTAGAGCACTAGCCTTGAGCAAAAAAAGGGCAAGGACAGTGACCAGGACCTGGGTTTAAGCCCCAGGACCTGCACATACACACAAAGTTAAATAAAAAAAGATGTTTGTTAGAGGATGACTTAAGTCTACCTCTGTTCAAAGTACTTCATTAATTAGGTAAATCTTTGTAAGATTTTTCTAGACCTACTAATGGTAATATACATTTAAAGTTGGGGAAAACTTTTGAAAATGTTTTTAAGACTAGCATGTTATTAAATCGTAAAATTTTAAATAATTTTTTGAGAACAGTCTTTTTTGTTTCCAGTATTAGTGCTTGATTTTAGTTGATTCCTCAGAAGAGAATTGTAAGGTATTTTAAGCAGACTAATCCTAAAATATTTTTTTAAGTATTAGTTTTAAAAATACTCATTTTGGTTAAGAGCTTTCACTTATATCAAAGTACCAAAGGCTCAAGAGCGCTTTGTCACTAGGTAAGAGAAACAAAGTAAGAAATATTTTTAAGCCTTGGTAATTTTTATGCCTTTAAATACATCCTCAGGTCACTCACTATAGACAGTTGTTCAGTTTTACAATTATTCTCATGAAGAAGAAAATAACATCTCATGGTATTGAATATTTTAAATATTTATAGTTCATTTAGCACTTTATCTGCATCAAGATACTTCAGAGTCTTACTCAGCAATTTGTGTTCTTATTGTTTATAGCAGAACTATTCTCTGGCTGAACTTGATGAGAAAATTAGTGCCCTCAGACAAGCCCTACTCAGAAAATCAAGAGAAGCAGAATCCATGGCAGCTCACCACCTTCCTTGAAGAACTCCCCTTTTTGTACTTGTCATTTTCCTTTTTAATATACACATATATAACTTACACTGTAATCAATTAAATGGATGTCTGCTTATCATTGTAAACTTTCTGTGAAATCAAGGTTTGTTTTTAGGTGACTCTCGCTAGCAGCAAGTAATTTTCAAGTATTCCAATAAGATTTGAAATAATGGATGCAATGAAAAAGCATTATTGGAATTTGTTCCCTTCTGTTTTAAAGAAGGACTTTGGAAATCGAAAAGACCTAATTTGAAAGTAGTGGTGTTTCTGTTTGTTTTTGTGAACCACAAAAAGGAAAATTATTTTGATAATATTTAAAGTACTTTATATTTGTAACATTGGGTAACCAGTTTATCAGTTTAAATTAGTATTTTGCACATGAGTACTCAACAAAAATGTATTGCTTGAGATGAATTTTAAATGCAATATATAAACTTTATTTTTTGTTTTTCAGATGTCAGTTTTAATGTAAATAAATAATAGATCCAACTTTATACCTTTATTGGCTGTGTGACTTTGAACAACTTTGTGCCCTAATTTTTTAGTCTATAAAAAGGGGGATGAGCCAGGCGCTGGTGGCTCACGTCTATAATCCTAGCTACTCAGAAGGCTGAGATCTGAGGATCCCAGTTCAAAGCCAGCCTGGGCAAGAAAGTCTGTGAAACTCTTTATTTCCAATAAACCACTAGGAAACCGGAAGTGGCTCTGTGGCTCAAGCAGTAGAGCACTTGCCTTCAGCTGAAGAGCGCAGGGACAGCACCCAAGCCCAGAGTTCAAGCCCCACGACTGACAAAAAGGGGCGGGGGGAAATGATAAGAGAAACTGTTTTGTTGATTGTTAGGGAGAATATGTGAGATCATGTATGTACAGATTTTGAAACTGTCCCAAAGAAATGCTGAGTAAAGGTTAGCAATTATTATAAAACCTGATTTGATTCAACTTGTGGGTGGGAACAGGAGGGAAAAACTGAAAAAGAGTAAAGGAAGAGGTGACATTATCCAAAAAGAAATATACTCCATTACCTGAGTTATGAAATGGTAACCCCTCTGTACATCACATAATAACAATTTTTAAAAACCTCATTTGTCTTTGGACAGAAGGAAAGACATTACAAAGAAATTATATTGCTATAGTGGTGTGCCAAGCAGGCATATAGCATCACGCTTAGACTAGTAAGTTCTCAATTTATTCAAACACTTCAAAAATACCAGTATTAATCCACACCAATAACTAACTCTAATGCCTAATTCTACTAAACATGTCCCACACCCATGGAGTTCATGTGGCACATCACTTGGTCCAGAGGTCGAAGGGAGTCTGTCCAGGGTGTCCTCTGCGCTGCTCCAAATCGCTGGAGGGAGTAGTGTCTGCCCTGCTGAGAGGCTCCAGTGGAGGATCGGTACGACATGGAGTCACCATATTAGGTTGTCTCACTCGGTCTCTGCTGCCCTGGCGTTTTATATGTTTTAGGCTGGGCTTTGCTTCTGGCCGTACCTGGTTATTGTTGTCAGCTGGTTGCCTGATGACTATAGCTGTGTGGTTATTGCTGTTGTCTCTGTAGGCTGTGTAGGCTCCTGGGTTTGTCCTTAACTCTGTATCCCAAACTCCTAATTTTACAGCTTAATATTTCATACTATTTCACAGTACACCTACACTCAATATATTCCTATTCAATAACACACTTGTCAATATTCCATAATACTACAAGTGGAACTCTAACTTTAAAAAATGTAGCCACAGTTATGTCTAAAATATACAACTATTTAAGAATTGTTAGGTGCAAGAATCAAATCTAAAATTTATTGTTAATGGAGAGTTATTTAAAAATGAACAAAAATATGAAAATAGAGAAAGTATAGCTAAATGTGATTTAAAGTAATTATTAGTTCACCTAGTGTACTCTTTCTCTGTGGACTGGTTTTTCCAGTACTCCCCATTTGAAGGCTGAATAAAGGCCTCTTTCACATGGGATAGTTTTATTCCTGTCTTAATAGATTCAGCTTGCTCTGGCTAAGTTTGGTGCAGACTCTGAATCAACTCTGTAGAACCTCACAACTCCAAAACCACTTATTTAATCTTTGTATCTGTTAGTTGAAATTCTTCAGAGATTACATGTGATTGTGTTCAATAACCCTAACAAGTTGTGTTCAGAATGTGGAACAACTGTTAATAGAAACATATAGTATACATAAAACCTTGCAAAACTGGCAGCCTTTAAAGTAGCACTTGGTTTTAAAAAAAAAAACCAGGACTGACCCGGGCACCTGTGGCTCATGCCTGTAATCCTAGCTACTCAAGAGGCTGAGATCTGAGGATCATGGTTCAAAGTCAGCCCGGGCAGGAAAGGCCGTGAGACTTATCTCCAATAAACCACTCAGAACACTGGAAGGGTCACAGTGGCTCACGGTGGTAGAGTGCTCACCTTGAGCTGAAGAACTGAGGGACAGCGCTCAGGCCCAGAGTTCAAGCCCCATGATGGATAAAAAAAAAAAAAATGGGCTGGGAAGGTGGCTCAGTGGTAGAGTGCTTGCCTTGCATGCATGAGGCCCTGGGTTCGATTCCTTAGTACCACATACACAGAAAAAGCTGGAAGTGGTGCTGTGGCTCTAGTGGTAGAATGCTAGCCTTGAGCAAAAGACACTCAGGGACAGAGCCTAGGCCCTGAATTCAAGCCCCAGGACTGGCAAAAAACAAAACAAAACAACAACAACAAAAGCAGGGCTTTGGAATCATTCCTAAGTAGATGTAGGCTAGGTCGTTTCCATTAATGTCTTCTTACTGTATTTCAACTATGCAGAAAATACAACACTTGAAAGTATTTTTGCCAAGTATATTCTAGTATTATAGGTGCAGTTACAAATGACAGATCCATCTACCATTATCCTATCAGAATGTCATCTTCTATAGTTGTACATTTTACTACCAACTTGCCACCAAAATGGTGGAGAAAAATAGCATTAAAAATGATATGTTAGTGACAGAGGTTGATTTGGAGGCAGAGAAGAAACCTAGAAAACAGAATACCTAGAAAAAATAATACAGCAATAAATGCTATAGATCAGTTTCTTGCCTTGACAGGCCTACAAACTGCCATTAAAAGAATTTCCCTTCTCTATTGTCTTTTAGGCCTGTTCTTCTAAAAGACATTAAAAAAGAGTCCTCTCTCTATGTCAGTAAACATTGTTTGGTGCCAGCATTCTTTTCTACTTGAATCTGGAGCCTATAGAAGAGCCTAAGATTTAATACTATGTTGGTATGAGTGATAAAGATGCTTGTTGGAGACTCTAAGGCTCTGGTGATAACTACCTTAGAACTTCAACAGGCTTTCATCAGTTATTTTCTTTTCTTGAGTGCATCATTGACTGTAAGATGAAGCCAGGAATGTCTCAGGTCAGTTTACTCTATTAGTCACCAGGCCCAGAGTTCAAGCCCCATGATGGACAAAAAAAAAAAAAAAAAAAAATGGGCTGGGAAGGTGGCTCAGTGGTAGAGTGCTGCCTTGCATGCATGAGGCCCTGGGTTCGATTCCTTAGTACCACATACACAGAAAAAGCTGGAAGTGGTGCTGTGGCTCTAGTGGTAGAATGCTAGCCTTGAGCAAAAGACACTCAGGGACAGACCATTTTCTTTAGGATTTTTTTTTAATGTTTGCATTTTATTTTATTTTAAATAAGTTTTTTCTTGTTTAAATACTGTACAGAGGGGTTACAATTACATGAGCGAGGTAATGAGTACATTTCTTATCAAGCATTGTTGCCTCCTCCTTTGTTTCCCCTTCCCATCCCTTCCCATCCCTTCCCATCTCCCCCCACTCTGTCCCATTACCCCCCTCCCCCGCTGCCCCCTCTCCCTCCCCGCCCCCTCACAACCCCCCTCCCCACGCCAAAGTTGTAAAGTTCGTTTTTCAACCTAAGATCTTGTACATCTCATTGTTGCAATGGATTCACCTGTATCCCTGTTTAAACAATTGGTTTTTTCCCTTCCTCTCCACAAATTATACCGCCATCAAATACAGTGAAAACAGAGGTTATACCGTGGGGGAGGGACATACAAAGCAACACAATAGCAAGAAAGAATAAACATTTGAATCCTTATTTTGGGGTTCATTTCGCCTAACACCAACTTATCTGACCATTTTTGCTTGTCTCAGACATATACTAGTTATTGCAGATAAGGAAAACCATGGGACCTATGTTTCTTTGGGCCTGGCTTACTTCACTTAATATAATTTTTTCCAAGTCTTTCCATTTCCTAACAAATGGGGCAATGTCATTCTTTCTGATGGAGGCATAGAATTCCATTGTGTATATATGCCACATTTTCTTGATCCATTCATCTACTGAGGGGCCTCTGGGATGGTTCCACATCTTAGCTATGGTGAATAATGTTGCAATAAACATAGTTGTGCTGGTAGCTCTAGTATGGTTTTGTTTGTGGTCATTTGGGTAAATGCCCCAAAGTGGGATTGCTGGATCATAGGGTAGCTCTATGTGGAGTCTTTTGAGGAACCTCCATGCTACTTTCCAAAGTGGTTGAACAAGTGGTTGAACCAACAATGAAGTAGGGTTCCCTTTTGGCCACATCCCCTCCAGCATCTGTTGTTATTAGAGTTCTTGATTATAGCTATTCTAACTGGGGTGAGGTGATAATCTCAATGTTGTTTTGATTTACATTTCTTTTATGGCTAGGGAGGTTGAGCATTTCTTCATTTGTCTATTGGCCATCCTTCTTTCCTCTTCAGAGAAGTTTCTCTTTAAGTCTTTAGCCCACTTATTTATCGGGCAGTTGTTTCTTTGAGGATTTATTGTTGAGGGATTTAATTTTTTGAGTTGCAGGTATATTTTAGATATGAGACCCTTGTCCGTTGTATGGCTAGTGAAGATCTTCTCCCAATCTGTGGGCTTTCTATTGATTTTGCTAGCTATGTGTTAGGATTTGTTGTGGTTGTTGTTCAGCTTTTCTTTAACCCATTGTTTTCTCCTAATGGCCTTGGTCCTCAAGAAATAATAAAAGGACAAGTGATTGGAAAGAGGCTTGCTTGAAGGAAGAGGAAATCATGATCTTTGTCTGTCCCTTTGAACCTTCCTCTGAGGAGTTGGTATTCTAATCTGTGATAATGTTTCACAGGGGTTGAGTTTCCCAAACTTCTGGCTACTGCTAGATAGTTTCAATTGCCAGGCTCTAGAATTTTATAAGTGGACTGTACTATCTGGCCTTCAGCAACATCAGCAGAAATGATCACCTTTTATGAAGCATGACTTTCCTGCCTTCTTGTACTTCAGGCCTGCTCAAGGGTTTTGCTTCATAGTACTGCTGCGAATTATGATCTAGTTCTTTGTTTTTCTTACAATACAAACTTTGGATTCATATTCTCGAAGTGAATGAAGTATATATTCCAGAACAATTACCTTTATCTTGAATGATAGGCTCCACAAGAAAAAAAAAATGTTATATGTTTCTAGACTATTAGGGAATTAAGAAAACTTTGAAAAAC